GTCCACATGGCTGTTGACCCCCTCAAAGAATTCTAGGAGATTGATGAGGCAGGATTTCCCTTTGCAACAGCCATGCAGACTCTTCCCCAACATATTGTGTTTTTGTGTCTGATAATTCTGCTCTTTACTATAGTTTCAACCAGTTTGCCTGGTACTGAAGTTAGATTTACCAGCCTGTAATTGCCAGGATTGCCTCTGGAGTCTTTTTTTAAAATAAGCATTACATTAGCTATCCTCCAGTCATCTGGTACAGATGCTGATTTAAGCGATAGGTTACATACCACGGTTGGTAGTTCTCCAATATCTTATCTGAGTTCCTTCAGAACTCTTGGGTGAATGCCATCTGGTCCCAGTGACTTATTACTGTTTAATTTATCCGTTTGTTCCAAAACCTCTACTGACACCTCAATCTGGATTTGAAGCAGCAAACTATATTCACATTGAGCAGAACTCAGTGCTCTGGTTTGCAAAAGTATTTGTGAATCCATTTTTTTAAATTGTGACCAGCTCTGGTGAGATGCAGAGATGTTTTCTGAAGTTTCGTTGACAGGTGCACATAAAATTACAGCTGTTACATGCATGGCAGCATCACGGTGCTTGTCAGCCTCCCAAGGTTGTGTTGGGATATGCACCCCAGACGTTTGAAGGCTTCTGCATGCATGCACTAAACTGTCTACACTGCAAGATTGGGCTTGGGAATCTCGCAAGAATGGGCTTTCTCGTGAGCTTTCTCCTGGGCTGGCTGGAAATCCTGTGGGAACCCTAGAGCCCCGTGCTGACTGAGTGTTGAAACAGGTTTCAGAGGAACAGCCGTGTTAGTCTGTATTCCCAAAAAGAAAAGGAGTACTTGTGGCACCTTAGAGACTAACCAATTTATTTGAGCATGAGCTTTCGTGAGCTACAGCTCACTTCATCAGATGTTCACTGCTCCTATTGTAGTGCAGTGTGCTCTGGTCAGTGTCTGTGCTGTGGGCAGCAGCTCTGGCTCAGTGGATTGGCTGCTGTGTCCTGCCGGTATATACGTGATGAAGGTGCGTTCAGAGCCCTTACAGCAGTGGGTAAAGACCTGTTTGTACCTGCTGCTGACCCTGCCTGCTTTGGCAAGTCTCTGCTGAGTCTGGGCTTCAGAGCAAAGGCTGGGCTGGTGGTTAGGGATCAGGACTGGAAGGGAGGAGATTTGGATTTCTGGCTTGGCTGTGGGTGGACTTGGGCAAGTCTCTTATGATGGTCTGTGTTGGCTCATGTGATGTGCACCAGTGCCCTCTGCTGGGCAGAGTGGGAGCTGGGTCTAGCTAACATAACAGCCCAAAGGCTCTGGGCCCCTGCCGTGGGAGCACGAGGAGCCTGGGTTCTGGTCCCACTGTCTCCGGGAAGTTCCCAGTGGCTAGAGTGTGTGGCACACCGACAGTCCGAGGGGCCGCGCGTCTGTTACCGTCGGTGCCGCGCAGAGGGGTGAAGCGAGACCATTCACAGCGCGTGCTGCTGTTCAGAGGGGGTGGGCTGCATGGACCAGATCCGGTGCCCAGCCAGGTCAGTTACGAGGCTTCCACTGTGTGTAGCGGTGCGGGAGTGAGCTCTGCAAAGACAAATCGTAATGGTTTTTAGTTGAGGGCCCTAGGCAACTGCCTTGTCCTCACGGGGTCTAGGGTGCAGCTGGCCCTGTGCCAGCAAGTCGCTGTTTTGTTGTTAAAAGTGAAAAACCAATTTGCCACCAGCAGAAGACACTGAATCACCAGTTGTGAGAGGAGGAGAAGTGGAGTTATTCTCCGGGTCTGTCATCGCCTCCTCCAGACCTTAAAGGCCCCTTTCCCCACTAAGTGAAAAACTAAACAAAGAAGGTTTATTCCCAGCAAATCACATCCACTTTTCTGGAGATCAGTGGAGCACTTCTGGCTTCGTATTGCTCTGAATGGGAATTTGAGATCTACTCGGGTTAGCGACAGGGCCATTGTTCTTCAGCATAAAGCAAAATTGGTTTGTCACATATTTCCAGCCATCACAGTAAGTCAATGAAGTTGCTCGAGCAAGGCAGACACTGAGAGCTAACCAAACAGAAGAGAAGACTGAGATTTTGTTGACAGTTGCTATTTTTCCCCACTCAGCCAGGCCCTACGTCCAGGGCACATCTTAAAACGAGCCCAAGTGCGAGAGGACACCGGTGGAAGGTGGACGAGGCGGAGAGTTCAGCTGTTGGTGATGTGCCGGCTCAGTTTGAGTTTGCTGAAGAGGGGCTGAGGAAACGTAGCAGCTCTTAAGACAATAGGAGCCTTTTCCCCTGTTTCTCTTCCACGTGTTGGGTTTTTTGTAGGTTTTTCTAAATGTGACAGCAGGCTGAAGTGAGCCCTTTGGCTTCCTAGCTGCTGATGTTCTTCCCAAGGTCTTTGTGTAAAAGGCACATGTTTTGCACAAACAGCATCAGTATTTGACAAGGGAACAACCCAGTGTACAATCCAATAAGCCCTTGCATCCTTCGATGATAATGCTTACAATATGTGCATTGTTTCAGGGCAGGACCAACAAATAACTCATGTTTTATATAAATGAAGTTCTGTGTCCTTTGCTAATTAATACCTGGGACCAGCCCCTGGATTGGCAGGTTTATTACTTCAAGGAAGCAATGCAATTTCTTAAAGAATCTCATTGCCAATACAATGTTGCTAGCTTGTATGTCTGGAGAACTGAAGTTACAATAATCTGTGTAATATGAAGAGCTCTGACCATCTGCTGGGCCCAAAATCAGGGTTTAAAAGATCCCTAAATACATAGCTGTAGTTCTCTCTCTCTCTCTCACTCTCCCCCTCTTTCCTTCCATAAAGAAATTAACAAGTTTACTGCACAAAAACTATGTTTAATGTTACAAAAACCAGCTCATTGTCAATGCAGCTGAACTGTGGTGGAGATCTTTCACTGACTTCTGTAAGCAAACACAGGTATCAAATCTACCTGTCTGATCTCCAATGGCTGTTTGGTGGATATCTAGCTGGGCTGAGTGGTCTCAGAGACTTAGAAAGGCTGATTTTACAATCAGATAAAAACCTTGTTTTTCAAGAAGCTGGGATTTGCTTTCTGAAAACATCTGACTAAATCTGACAATCCAGCATGATCATACTGAATGGCTGTTACTGTGACCGAGAGATGGGCCAAGGAAGCAGCAATTAGATTTGGATCTTGTATTAGGCTCATAGAATCATAGAAGATTAGGGATGGAAGAGACCTCAGGAGGTCATCTAGTCCAACCCCCTGCTCAAAGCAGGACCAATCCCCAATTAAATCATCCCAACCAGGGCTTTGTCAAGCCTGACCTTAAAAACCTCTAAGGAGGGAGATTCCACCACCTCCCTAGGTAACGCATTCCAGTGCTTCACCACCCTCCTCATGAAATAGTTTTTCCTAATATCCAACCTAGACCTCCCCCACTGCAACTTGAGACCATTGCTCCTTGTTCTGTCATCTGCCACCACTGAGAACAGTTGAGCTCCATCCTCTTTGGAACCTCCCTTCAGGTAGTTGAAGGCTGCTATCAAATCCCCCCTCCCTCTTCTCTTCTGCAGACTAAATAAGCCCAGTCCCTCAGCCCCTCCTTGTAAGTCATGTGCCCCAGCCCCCCAATAATTTTCGTTGCCCTCCGCTGGACTCTCTCCAATTTGTCCACATCCTTTTAGTGGGGGGACCAAAACTGGACACAGTACTCCAGGTGTGGTCTCACCAGTGTCAAATAGAGGGGAACGATCACGTCCCTCGATCTGCTGGCAATGCTCCTACTACTGCAGCCCAATATGCCCTTAGCCTTCTTGGCAACAAAGGCACACTGCTGACTCATATCCAGCTTCTCATCCACTGCAATCTCCAGGTCCTTTTCTGCAGAACTGCTGCCTAGCCATTCGGTCCCTAGTCTGTAGCGGTGCATGGGATTCTTCTGTCCTCAGTGCAGGACTCTGCACTTGTCCTTGTTGAACCTCATCAACAAGGCTCAGGCCAAAGTTAGGTCTGACCCCAAGCTGGGCTGTGGGGCTAGACCCCTCTCTCCACAATGGTCAGCCCAGGCCCCTGGGCCCAGACACCCCGTGTGGGAGCTGGGAGGCCACGGACAGACCTGAAGCTAGGCGTGGGCCTTGGACACCTCGTCTCCCCACTCGCAGAGCTGGGGAGCGCTGTGCGAATAGAGGCAGTGGAAGGAGAGATCTGTGTCCCCTCTAGTCACCCCTCCGGGGGATGCCTGGAGGGCCACTGCCAGGCCCTTGAGGGAACCTGTGTGGGTCGATTAGAGAGGGGCTCCCTCTCCCAGTGATGGGAAGGCCGCTGTGAACTCTGAGGAAAGAGGAGCTAACGAGGGAATGCTGGCCGGGGTGGGGGGCGGCTGGGGAGGTACCGGGGAGAAAAGCACCTTTTGGCCTGGTGTCCAGTGCAGAATGAGCCCTCCATTGCATTAGTGGCTTGCTCACCGTAGCTGGGGTGCACTCAGAGAGGGTGTTAGGCAGCAGCTGTGAGCCGTGCACTCCCCCTTCCAGAGCCTGATACCAGCTGGACAGTGCCAGGGCAACATGATCTGGATCGCCCTATCCCACTCGTCGGACGAAGCACCACTGAAACTCTCCCGCCTGGACGCAGGGCTGCTGGTGCAAAGGCTCGCACGGGCAGGGGAGCGTGAGTCCTGACTTGCTCAGCGCTGAGTGAGTGGAGGCAGAGTTTGAAGCAGCTGGTGCTGGGTTGCTGTTGCACTGACGGGAAGGGGTCCAAGGGCTATCACACCCCAGGGCTATCAAACCCCAGGCAACACACATCACGGCTAAGAGAGGAGAAGCTGTCGTAAGGCTGGGGAAGGAGAAGGGCCCTGCTGCTTGCTTTGCCAGCTGGCCACACTATGAGCAAAGACCCCTTTTGTGTTACAGGAGAAGAGTATTTGCAACCTCGCTCTTGGTGTAAATACAGCCTCCCCCACCCCATAGCAGGCTTGGTCACCAGGGAAACACCCAGCTCCTCTCCCCAGGAATGTACAGCCTGGCTTGAGAAGGCATTGTCCTCGGGGAAGAGCCATTAGCCCACCTAAGTGGGGCGGTTATTTACTCTCCTGTCAGGCCTCATGGCTGTCTCGGTGCCTCCCTTTGTGTGCATTGTGCAGCGATAGAAGATGTGTACAGAGGTGCTGTTTGCCATTTGGGACCGCAGCGTTTCCTCTCCTCCAAGGGCTGGTGAGTGGCAGCTTCTCTCTCTTTCCTCCCGTGGAGCCAGGATCCTCCTGCTCCCTCGTAGGTTTGCGGTGCCTCCCGGCTGCCAGAGCTGCCTGAAGGGTCTTCCCTCTAGCTTGCTTGTGTTTGGGAATTGCCAGGCCCTGCTTGCAGGATCCCAGAAGATTCAGGGCTCATTGCCTGTGCTCTGTGTGCTTCTTGGCCAGACTCCCCTTCCCAGCTCCAGCTCCCCAGGGGTCGGGTGTGGTGTGGGGGGAGTCAGGCTGACTGGGGCTTAGATCCAGTCCAGCCAAAGGGGCCCCAACAAGCCAATAAACTGACCTACTCATGACATGTCTAGCTCCCTTCCCTGTCAGCGCTCCAGGGGCCAGATCTGTGAATTCATGGATGCTGCCTTCATCCAACTCGGGGTGTGGTGACCCCTTCTCATCCAAATTCTAGGGTACATTGCCAAGAAGGGCAGGCTGCATAGACCCTTCTAGACTTGACCGTGGCACCGTTTAAGCCGCAAACCGGCCTCTCTCTCGAGCCATTTGCTCCTGCAGTCTGTCTACATGGCACGGTGTACACTGGCTCAATTCACCTGCAGCTGCTTCTGAACAAGTGCATTTGTGCACCCATGCCAACAGGCCCTGCCAAGCCCACCAGAACAGCTGCGTGGCCGCACCAGTATGATGCCCGCATCTTGTTTCATTGCTGTAAGAGACACAAAACTGGCAATGAAGAGAAAATAGTGAATGGCATCTTGTGGGAAAATTACAGAGTTTAATGCAGAAAATGAGGATTGTCAGCAGTATGCTGAAAGATTGGGCCACTATATTCTGGCAAACGAGGTTAGAGATGAGGAAAACCAGAAAGCAATATTTCTCAGTGAGTGTGGCAGTAAATCGTACTGCCTTTTAAGGAGTTTGTTACAGGAAAGAAACGTTTAGAAGAACTGAACTGCAAAGGATGTTAACTGAGCACTATACTGCATAGCCCAGCATTACTGTGGAACATTTTAAGCTTCATAATTGGTCATGACTCGTGAGAAACCAAATAAATCTATCCCTGTAAAATATAAAAGCCAAAAGGACAAAAAGCAAAACAAAAAACTTACCAGTCTTAGTGATCTGAGGAAAAAGGCAAAATTTGTCAGGCAGAGATTGGATGAAAGAACTAAAATGGAATTGGGAAGAAATATTTAAAGTAGAACAGGGTTGTGATGTTATTGACTTGAACTGGGACCATATAGAACATTGTTGCAACCAAGGCCCTATGGTGGCACCAAATCTTGTATAAAGGGGGTCAAATGAGGTGTCTAGGACAGGGTTGTGGTTTGCTGGTTGTGATTGTGCTGTCTGTGTGTGTGTGTCGTTTTTGTAGTTGAAGTTATGAACGTTGGCTCTGTACTGTCTCAAGCTTGTGCTGTGCTTCAGGGGGACGCCCCAGACAGGTTGGGGTCAGCTCTGCCTAGCCTGCTGGGTGGCCCATTAAGGACCATCAGCGACACAAGTGACCCATTGAGAGAAGGCAGACGCGCCTGGGACAGACAGCCAGGCATGCAGGGACCTGCCTATGGACAGAACTCTGAGGTGTTTCCAGGCCATGGGGTGGGCAGCTTGTACTTGGGACAAAGAAAGCAGAGATCACACGGCAAGAGACTATAAATAGCTGCTGCAGCTCCTCCATCTTGTTTTCAATTCTGCTTCTGCCCTCTGGAGGGACTTTGCTACCCTGAAGCTCTGAACGAAGGACTGAATGACCCAGCCCAGCTGGGGATGTTCTCCAGAGACTTGATTTGAACCTGCAGTTTATTCTATCACTGCTACAAGCCTGAACCAAGAACTTTGCTGTTACTATGTGTCATTGATTCCATTGAACCAATTCTAGCTCTCATCTATATTTCTTTCCTTTTATGAATAAACCTTTAGATTCTAAAGGATTGGCAACAGGGTGATTTGTGGGTAAGATCTGATTTGTATATTCATAGAATCATAGAATATCAGGGTTGGAAGGGACCTCAGGAGGTCATCTAGTCCAACCCCCTGCTCAAAGTAGGACCAATTCCCCATAGTTGCCCCAGATCCCTAAACGGCCCCCTCAAGGATTGAACTCACAACCCTGGGTTTACCAGGCCAATGCTCAAACCACTGAGCTATCCCTCCCACACAAATTGACCTGAGTCTGGGGCTTGATCCTTTGGGATCGAGAGAACCTTTTTTCTTTTACTGGGGTATTGGTTTTCATAACCCTTTGTCCGCATAACGAGTGGCACTGGTGGAGATACTGGGAAACTGGAGTGTCTAAGGGAATTGCTTGTGTGACTTGTGGTTAGCCAGTGGGGTGAGACCAAGTCTGCTCTGTTTGGCTGGTTTGGTTTGCCTTAGAGGTGGAAAAACCCCAGCCTTGGGCTGTAACTGCCCTGCTTTAAGCAATGTGTCCTGAATTGGCACTCTTAGTTGGGTCCCACCAGAACCAGCATTGTTACAAGGGTAAAATACTCACACTCCAGGAAGTTCAAGGTGTTCATCCCACAATTTTCCAAGAAGCATTAGGGACCATGGAGGAGGTAACAGCCAGGGTTTATATTCAGGATGGGGGCCAGTCAAAACATTTTAAAGCAAGACTAATTCTTTATGTTCTCAGATTTAAAAAAATCCAGACTGAGTGGGACAGGTTGGAATAGCAGGGCATCATTTCACCAGTGCAGTTTTTGGAATGGGCTACCCCTGTAGTGGTTAAACCCAACAAAACCAGCTGAATCTATGGGGATTATAAAGGAACAGTGAATCAAGTCTCTAAACTAGACACTTACCCCATTCTGTGCACAGAAGACTTGCTTATCTTGTAGTGCTAGGTAGAAGTCAAAAATTCAGAAAACTGGACTTGTCTCAGGTGTACCACAGATGAGACTGGAGGATGAGGGTAAGAAATTCACCACCGGGAACACCCTCAAGGGTTTGTATCAATGCAATAGATTGCCATACGGAGTATTGTCAGCCCCTAGGATTTTCCAGGGTGCCATGGGAAGTTTTTTGAAAAGTGTTAGGGGTTGTAGTGAGGATTGAGGTTATTCTCATCAGCGGCAGAAGTGACCCTGAACATCTTTCAACATCGGAAAAGGTTCTTAAAAGATCAGAAGTGGTGGGACTTCACTTGAAACAAAATAACTGCTTTTTTATGAGCCCAGAAGCGATGTCCCTGGGGTCCAGGATAGAGCAGGAGGGAGTACACCCTTTGGCTGACAAGGTCACAGCAATTGAACAAGTGCCAGTAGCTCAGAATGCCAGTGAGCTAAACGCTGGCCTATGTATGTTAAATTACTATCGCAGATTTCTTCCAAAAGTTTCAGCCCTTTTAGAGCCTTTACCCCACCTTTTGAGGAATGAGACGCCTTCACACTGGGAAAGAAAGCAGAGAAAGCGCTCCAGGAGTCTAAAAAGCTACTCAGATCCTCCGAGCGCCTTGTTCCTTTTGACCTGGGCAAAGAATTAATCCTATCCTGCAAATGGCGCAGGGGCAGTTTCATGGCATAAAATGAAAGATTTTAGAGAGAGACCAATTGGCTATGTCTCCCAGACCCTGAATGAAGCTGAATGGGTTACTCCCAGCTAGAGAGAGAAAGCCTTGCTATTGTTTTTGGAATAAAAATTTCCACCAGTACCTCTATGGGAAATCTTCTACCATTTTGGCAAATCACAGACCACTGGTGGGACTCTTCAGTGAAAATCAGAGGAGCCGATCATGACAGCTGCCCGACTACAGCATTGGGCTTTGACATGAGCTGCCTATACAATAGTTTATAGTAGTGCCAACAGCGATGCCCTCAGTCAGTTACTGTTAGTAGAACCAGCTGGTTCTATGGAGAGATTTTGCTGCTCCTGGAACACCCACAGACCAGACCCAGGAAATGCTTTCCAGGCCAGAAAACGGTCTAGACAGGGTCCTGTCTTCTCCCAGGTAATGCAGCACATAGAATCATAGAATATCAGGGTGGGAAGGGACCTCAGGAGGTCATCTAGTCCAACCCCTGCTCAAAAGCAGGACCCATACCCAATTAAATCATCCCAGCCAAGGCTTTGTCAAGCCTGACCTTAAAAACTTCTAAGGAAGGAGATTCCACCACCTCCCTAGGCAACGCATTCCAGTGTTTCACCACCCTCCTAGTGAAAAAGTTTTTCCTAATATCCAACCTGAACCTCCCCCACTGCAACTTGAGACCATTGCTCCTTGTCCTGTCCTCTTCCACCACTGAGAATAGTCTAGAACCATCCTCTCTGGAACTACCTCTCAGGTAGTTGAAAGCAGCTATCAAATCCCCCCTCATTCTTCTCTTCTGCAGACTAAACAATCCCAGTTCCCTCAGCCTCTCCTCTTAACTCATGTGTTCCAGACCCCTAATCATTTTTGTTGCCCTTCGCTGGACTCTCTCCAATTTATCCACATCCTTCTTGTAGTGTGGGGCCCAAAACTGGACACAGTACTCCAGATGAGGCCTCACCAATGTCGAATAGAGGGGGACGATCATGTCCCTCGATCTGCTCGCTATGCCCCTACTTATATATCCCAAAATGCCATTGGCCTTCTTGGCAACAAGGGCACACTGCTGGCTCATATCCAGCTTCTCGTCCACTGTCACCCCTAGGTCCTTTTCTGCAGAACTGCTGCCTAGCCATTCGGTCCCTAGTCTGTAGCTGTGCGTTGGGTTCTTCCGTCCTAAGATATATTGCACAGATGGCCAATCAGAGTAAGGGAAAAGAATTTCAACCCTTTAGGACCACGAGTACGGAACGAAATATAGAGAATGAATGTGTACCGTGGGGCACAGGCACTGTGATTCCCCCACAAGGATGAGATCAAGCCTGACCGAAGGACGTGACGCACACCCTGGCATTTCACGCATGAAATCTGTGGCTCGGAGCTGAGTATGGTGGTCGGATGAGGACTTAGACAAAGTCGTGAAGGATGTCACTGATGTCAGGGCTATCAGCAGACCCCTGCACGGCACCCTTCATCCCTGG